GTTCCATGATTCATTGTTTGTGCATAACACCCAGTGCTCCATGCAGAACGTGCCCTCTTTAATACCCATCACCAGGCTAACCCATCCCCCCACCCTCCTCTCCTCTAGAAGAGGGTATTTATACCAGCCAGGGCCATTCATTCAACCTTGACCTACCAAAATCTCTACCCAACCACATGGATACAAAATAATATTTAGATCCTTCCAAAGATAAAGAAAGCTCTCACCATTATAACCTAATCAAAGAGACTATTCTTAGAAAATCAAATTAATGCCTCACTTAGCTTCCAATTAATAAAGAAAAAAAAAACTTAGATAAATACATTGGAATTTAGTGAAATGTATGTACTTCAGAGAGCCAAATAATAAAATAAAACATGGAGCACCTGGGTGGCTCAGTCAGTTAAGCATCTGACTCTGGATTTCAGCTCAGGTCATGATCTCAGGGTCGTGAGATCAAGCCCCACTTTGGGCTCTGCACTGAGTGTGGAGCCTGCTTGGAACTCTCTCTCCCTCTCCCGCTGCCTTTCCCCTAGGACATCATGCGCTAGCCATTATCATGGATGCCCTCACATTATCTGAATGCCTCAAACTATACAAGCAAGAATATCTAACATTATATTAAATAACTACAAGAGATAATGTAGTTCACAATTAACCCTTGGTTCACAATTAGCCCTGATACCATTCTAACTGAGAAGATAAAGTGATTTCCTTACCAGGGGCTGTTGGTTTTTCACCAAACAAACAATCCTCATTGCTTCCTCACTCTCAGGGATATTGTCTGGCAATGGGGGGAGAAGGGGTTCAAAATCTTTCCGAGCCACAGTGTCATGGGCACTGAGCAAGGCCTAGGAACAGAGAAGGCAAGGTGAACAAAGGTCACACACAGGACACACCCTTCTAGAAGACGGTGAGCTAACACTCTGTAAGACAAACCGCCACCATCACCACAACAACCAACACATATATGCTGAGCGTAGCATTTTATGTGGATTAACTCAATCTTCACAATAACTCCATGAGGCAGGTATATTTATTGTCCCCATTTCATAAAGAAACAAGGCACGGAGAGGTTAAGTTGATACATAATATATTCTTGCATTTCTGCTAAAATGTATTTTGTCACTTTCTCATTTCCTGCAAACCCATGTAATCCATGGTGCTCCGATAAGCTTGAACTACGGAATAACTTTTATAATATTTTCCCTAATTAAGGCAGAATGGGAGACAGTAATCAAAACATCTTGCTAGTTTAACGTGTCAGTGACTCCCAAGGGCCTATGAGGAACAGAATGAGAAAAAGTAGTTTCCTGACTTAGGGTGTGATCAAAGAGTTCCTTCTAATGGCCCATTATGTTAAATTTTTATTTCACCGGGTGGGGAAGTAGTCATTCCATAGATTGGTGGACAGAACTTCTCTGGAACTCAGAGAAAATTCTCTAGGGTTATCTTGTGAACTGAAAATTTGACTCAAATTCTATTGCTCCAAGTGCAGATATTCTCTTAAAGTTCTCATTTGTTGATAAACTGAACTCAAACTCTATAAGTACTGTGAGATAGGCTTCTGTTCTGCAATCAAACATTCTTCAATCAAATGTCCTTCATATACTCCCTCATTGAGTTAATCATCCTTATACTATATTTTCAGAACCTCTTCACACATTTCATCCAAAACTTAAAATATTTCCAAGTTGGAAAGGAAGTATACTACCCTGATTCTCCCCCAGAATTTTAGAAGGACAATGGCTTTGCAGGGTGGAAACAAGACATCATGGGAAGTTCTGGATGTCTCCTCATAAATATGGCAGGCTTGGCTCCATGGCTAACAACACAGAGCCAGTCACATCTGAGTCCCATATCTTTAAGAACAATCTGTTGGTCACCCACGTACAGTAATAGAATGTCTATTCAGAAAGTACATTTCCTGTCACCCTTATTTCTTCTTGCCAACTTTGCCCACGTGCCAGATGGGCATATCTTGTCTATTTTAGCATGCACTTGCCTTAAAGTGTGGATCCTGGAGGATTTGTTTCAGCTCTTGGATCTCAGGGGATTTAGGAGTTTCACGTAATATCCCCACTACCTGGTTGGTGAAAAGCAGACATTGTAAAATTTTTAAAAATCTTCATCGCCTAGTTAACATCACCTGAGCTGGATAACAGATACACTGACTAGCATGATATTGACCAAAGGAAACTGTTACTGAAACCTTCTTTTATATCTTTAAAGTCAGGGCCTAGGATCTTTCCTCACTCATTCAACTTTGCTACAGCAGGTAGAATCCAAGATGTGGGGTAGGTCTAACACCCAGTGCCTCCATCGTGGCATACCAGAGGCTTGGAGGAGGAAATAACGTAATTTTGTAATATATGTTCCAAGGCAATTTCCCTCTAGTGGTGCTAAAACAACTGTTAATGTGAATCTTTATGGGCAGATTAAGGTGTCAGAGTTCTCCAGGTACAGACTCAAATGCCTGGAGAACTCAGGTAGCTTAATCCCATGGGATGCTCCATTCGTCGTGTGGAAAATGGGAATAGTAATTTGTGTTTTAGGACTTATTATTTGGTTACCAATTTTAATATTTATTGCAATAAAAAAGCGTTAAACATTCTAATTCTGATCTCCTTTCTGTTTGAGTGTAGACCTGCTTTCTGAGAGGACATAAGACCTTTCAAGACTTTACTGAGCCGCATGAGACCCCAGCAGTCAAGCCTCGTTACCTACAGTCAAATGAAAACAAGTAGTTTACTGAGTTTTACCTCCATTCCCTAGGATTACAACTGAATAAAATATGTATGTATTTTCCTGGGGACAACTGAGAACAATTTGAATCGTTGATTACTGGAACTGAGGGTACAGTTTTTTCTTCCTTTTTTTTCTATTTCTTTTAATATGGTTTGGACAATAAATAATAATAAAATGGATTACACTTATTTATCCATTCAAGAAATATCTATTGAGTATCTACTACATGCTAGGCACTGTTTTTAGTGATACAAATACAGTGGCAGACAAAAATCCCCATTCTAAAAAAAAAAAAAATCCCCATTTTTACTTGATGAAGAGAATTAAGAAGATAAATAAAACAGGAAGGTGGACAGGGAGTGCTCTGAGGGGTTGAAATTTTCGATCAGGTGACCAGAGAAAGCCTTAGTGAGAAGGTGACATTTGGGTGGAGACCAGGAGAAGAGGAAGCAAATCATGTGGCTATAGAGGCAAGACCATTGCTAACATATGGAATAGCAAGTGCAAAGGGCCTGTGGCAGGAGCATGTCTGGTTCACACAACCACAAGGGGTTATCTGACTGGGGGCGCCTGGGTGGCTCAGTCGTTAAGCGCCTGCATTCGGCTCAGGTCATGATCCCAGGGTCCTGGGATTGAGCCCCGCATCGGGCTCCCTGCTCGGCCGGGAGGCTGCTTCTCCCTCTCCCACTCTCCCAGCTTGTGTTCCCTCTCTCACTGTGTCTCTCTCTGTCAAATAAATAAATAAAATCTTTAAAAAAAAAAAAAGAGGGGGGTGGTTATCTGACTGGAGCAGAGTGAACAAGGGCTAGAGTGGTGAGTGTTAAGTCAAAGAGGGAACGGGCACATTATGTTTGGCTATCTAAGAACTATGATGTGTACCCTGAAATGGAAAGTCATTGGAAGGGTTTGAGCAGAGAAGCGACATGATTTGACACACGCTTCAAGAGGATCTCTTCAAGGGTAGAAGCAGGAGACCAGGTAGGAGGCTATATTGCAAATATCTGTATACGAGATGATGATGGTTTCTATTAGGTGGCAGAGTGGAAGTGATAAGATTCTGGATATATTCTGAAACAGGAGCTGACAGGATCTGTTGTCAGATTGGGTGCGAGGTATGAGAGAAGGAGAAAGTCACAGATAACCAAAGAGTTTGGTCTGAGTGCTGCAAGAACAAAGATGTCCTTACTCAGATGAAAAAGGCTGGGAGGGAAGTGGCTTTGGGTGTGGGGAAGATCAGGAGCTCGTGGGACATGTTGTTTGAGTGGTCCATTAAGTATGAATCTAAGTACGATGGAGAGGAGGCAGTTGGATATGTCTGGAGTCTGGAGTTCAGGCGAAGAGCCCAGCTAGAGATAGTACATTTGGGAAACATATACTATAACAACATTTACTCTCGGATTACACAGCATCAACAAAGTCTAAGGTTTAGAGAAGAAAAGAGAGAAATGGACACATGCTAAAAATGTTAATTTTTGTTTGTTTAAATTTGAAGTGCTGACCAATTTTCTTCCTTCTATTAAAGCTCAATTAGAAACACATACGAGATGCGTAATCATCAATCCAACTTTGCCATTAGATCGTTTAATTCATTAAAGCCCACTATTCTGTGGATTAAAAACCACCTTACCTCACAGGATAATGTCTGTGCATGAGTTGTGGCAGGAACGAGTTTCTTTTCTTTAAATTCCTGGAGACAATCATAAATCTGCAGAGGAGCAACGGTGGGAGAATGACATATTGAATACACGACTATTAATGTCTGGGGTTGAAAGCCCTGCGAGGGGACAGCCAGCCCGGGCCACAGCGCCAGCAGCTGAGCGGCTGGTGTGCTGGCCTTTCCGAAGGTGTCTGTCGCTGTCCGACAGAAATGGGCTCACGTGAGGTGGCTCCTATCCTCCAGTGGCTTGGTTATTGGCTGCCACTGGAAATTGATCTTCCCCAGCCAACATCATTGATAAAAAGAAATTCAAAGGTTTCCTCTTGTTAAATTAACAAGTGGGCTTTCCAGGGTTGAGACCAATAGGGATTTGGAGCCAGAGACCTGTAGGAACCTCTGTGCTGGGCAAAGGCCAGGGCATGCGCTGTGTGGCTTGGGTTCCGCAGAGGATCTGAACAAGAGGCCAGGCACACTACTCATGCTGATTGTACTCTTATCTGTTTGTTCCCTTTTCCTCCCTTAATCCTCCAAGAAAGGTTCATTTACAAAAATTTCAACTTCGGGGCCCCTGGGTGGCTCAGTCGGTTAAGCATCTGCCTTCGGCTCAGGTCATGATCCCGGGGTCCTGGGATCGAGTCCCGCATCAGGCTCCCTGCTTAGTGGGGAGTCTGCTTCTCCTTCTCCCTCTCCTCTCTCTCACTCGTTTTCTCTCTCTCTCTCTGTCAAATAAATAAATAAAATCTTTAAAAAAAATTTCAACTTCATCTCTGCTGACCTGAGGAATTTTTTCCGAACTGGGATCTGGAGTTGGCTGAGGACACCAAGGCGTGCCTAGCTCTGCAGTACAGCCCTTCTTATTTTAGGGATCTACTTTCTCTCACAGATGGAGGGATGAGGCCCAAAAGGCCAGGTAGGCCCAGCCTTCCTCCGTCCAGATCTGAGATGACAGTGCTTCCTTGGGCCACCTCCGAGCCAGTGCTCAGGTTGGCCTGGAAGTGATAAGGCAGATGAATTGAGGCAGGGCTTGTAGGGGGACACACAGCCTGCACAGGTGAGCAAGGGAATCCCCTTAGTGACCGGAGGACTGTTTCAGCCAATCCCAGGAGAAAAACATGCCCGAGAGGAATCAGGTGGGGCTTTTTCTCCCCAGCTTTCTTGAGATGTAATTGACAGATAACATTGTGTGAGTTTAGGGTGCACAGCATGTTGGTTTGATATATGTATGTACTGCAAACGGAGTACCCCAATAAGTTAACATCTCCATCACCTCACATAATTACGACTGGGTGTGTGTGAGAGAACGTTTAAGATCTACTCTCTTAGCAACTTTCAAGTACATAATACAGTATTATTAACTATAGTCATCATGCTGTACATTACATCCCTAGAAGTGATTCTTCTCATAACCGGCGCTTGGACCCTTTGACCAACATCTCCCCATTTCCCCCAGCCCCAGCCCCTAGTCTCGGTTTTTATGAGCTGTGCTTTTTTAGATTCCACATACAAGTGAAAACATATGATACTTGTCTTTCTGTGTCTTATTTCACTTAGCATGATGTCCATCCATATTGTCGCAAAAGGGAGGATTTCTTTCTTTTTATGGCTGAATACTATCCCATTGTATATTTCACCTCTGGGTATGTATTCAAAGGAAATGAAATCACGAGCTCAAAGAGGTATCTGCACCCCCATGTTCACCACGGCTCTGTTCGCAGTAGTCATGACATGGAACCAACCTAAGTGTCCAGCAGTAGACGAATAGATGAAGAAATGAGTTTTAAAACAACTGCTGTGAGGAGTACCTCTTTGTTCATGCTAAAGATGTTGCCACTTCCTCTTATTTTTTTTTTTTTTAAAGATTTTATTTATTTATTTGACAGAGAGAGACACACAGAGAAGGAACACAAGCAGCAAGGGTGGGAGAGGGAGAAGCAGGCTTCCCGCCAAGCAGGGAGCCCAATGCGGGGCTCGATCCCAGGACCCTGGGATCATGACCTGAGCCGAAGGCAGA